TGCATTATCTCGCAATGGATCCGAGTTAAGTTTGTATGAGTATCTCAATACTTTTCAAATATTTCCAGATATTGGAACTATGAATACTCGATACCTCCCTCAACTCTTAGTCCTTCTATGAACTATCTGCACCGTCTCGCAATGGATCTTTCGAAGATTGTGCCGCGTAGTCAAGCATTTGGTAATCGATCGACTGATAGAAGACGACTGTCTTCCTCCTACAAGATGCAGCGTAATCTCGAAGATCTTTCTTAGACCAGAGAGTCCCAAAGAGAATAATCTCTTCCCCATTTGTCATTATTGCTTTATACGTGCTATCTGCCCCCATTGATTTGCGACTCTATCCTATAGGTCCACCTAGAGGGACACGGATGCATTCCTTGGTCGCGTACTTTACCGTCGGTTGCTCGTAACAGTTCTTCTCGTGACTTCTTTTACGATGTTAGTAGGATGCCACCTAAATGATCACCCTGGAGGCCGTAGATCAATACGATTTATGAGATCGTTATCGATCGAGGGATCCGTGGTCCGCGCAACCAGACGGCCGACGATTTAATAAGTTACACACGCGCTGCGGACGGATTTGTATGACGCGGCTCTTCGAGTTTATGGTAGCAGATACCGTGTTTACGGTCTCTCAGTGAGTAAACACCATTCGAAGTTATGTATAATCGTAGATCGGGGAGGTTTGAACGATTCAATGATTTATAACTGTATTATTATTGTTATTCTAACAGATTACAAGTGTGCTTAATAATTGCAAAAGGATAAGAATGAATAGATAAGTGCTGAAGTCCGTGTAGACGAATACTTTCGAAAAAATTTCTTTGTCCCAAGGTCACGATGAAGATGGTGGGTGTACTTTCAAGGTCACCGTCTTTCTTTCTATACAGGGTGTTCAAAAAAAAGCATTCAATATTTATATAGTGTATAGGGCACACTGTACTAAGTAAAAAAAAGCTTTAATAAACATAGGTCCAAAGGTCAACCGTTTCTGAGATATAAACATTTCTGTTTGCTAGTATCATGATTGACTTACTTGCTTCCATCGCATGGGATGTTTATGTCAGTGTTTATAAATTGCGTTCTAAATGTTCCCATTCAAGTGCCGACAATTTCGTCAATTTCATTTTTTCAATTTCGTTGTACAGAAATGAGCGGTGGACACGTGGAAAATCTTCTATAAATATCGAAAACCCAGTAGTAAGTGAATCATGATACTAACAAACAAAAATGTTTATATCTCAGAAACGGTTGACCTTTGGACCTATGTTTACTGAAGCTTTTTTACTCAGTACAGTGTGCCCTATACATCATATAAATATTGAATGCTTTTTTTTTGAACATCCTGTATAAGCCGAACGCACACGGGCGCAACTAATTTGAAATTAGTGTTGCAAACCGTTTGCGCTCTTTGTTTTACTTACTTCACTATCTTTGTTTTACCTAGATCTCCACGGTCGCATGCAACTAGTTTCAGAATGGTTTGAAGCTGATCAGTTGCGCCCGTGTGTGATCGGTCTAACAAAAACGTAAACGATTTTTATTTGTCTGTCTAAACCCGAGATATGTAAACATTGCACGTTCTAGGTAAATAGAAGAAGGACTATATAACGCGATATGTAACGTTTAGTGTCGTTGTACATACCGTGTAATACCATGTGTATTTATGTACATATATATGTCATGACTACACTGCGGATCTTTATGCAT